TTTTTTTTTGCTATAGGGTGTGTGCACTCACCAGAGAGACACAGACAGACAGAGAGACAGAAAGCGAGAAATCAGCCCCCAGAGGAGATGGCCACTCCACAATCCCTTCTCCTCTATTCTCCTCCCGGGATCTTGAGCACACACACGCGCCCGGCATGAGTTTAAGCCACCGGGTCCAGGACTCGAACCATAGTCGACTACATGGGAGTCCAGCAACATAACCATTATGCTAACTACTGGTCCCTGGATTGCCTATATTTGTCATGCACTTGGTGTCTCATAGTAGACAAGAAAATCTTGGTCCCTGACATGTAAGAGCTGGCAGGGCGGCAAAGGAATACACTTTCATTCACACAAAGGCAGCATGTTAGGGCCTAGAAAGCTCTAGACTCCGGCTGTCACACCTCCCCCTACCCATTGTAACTTGGATCTAGCATTGCTGGGTGTGCAGTAAAAAATTAACTGGGCTGTCCACACTGTGCACATTCCACAGAAAGGTCTGGTCCTTGCCTGGTTTCTGGGACGTCACCTTTAAGGCCTCGGGATATCCTGCCTGATAAGATTGTCCTTGTTTATTGAGGGGAAGGAGGACCGCCCCCGGTAGCCAGATAGTTTGTGATTTATGGTGGGACCTCGGCCACTCAGGGTCAGCCAGATCCCTAGAGGTGCTAGAAACTGAAATTTAGCCAAGGAGGTGGTCAGCGTGTCTGTGACTACGCCCCAACAAAACCCTGAACACCGGCGCTCAGTGGAGCTCCCTTGGTTGGCAACGGTCCTTGTGTGTTGTCACACATTGGTGCTGTGAGAATTAAGTGCCACCCACGAGTCCACTGGGAGAGGACTCCACTGCCTCCTCCTCCACGTAGACCTCACTCAGTTCCTCCATACCACGTCCAGGGCCCTTGCGCAGATGGGGCTCTCTTCCCCTCCCTCCATCTGGCTGCCTCCTGCTCACCCAAGCTCTGCTTAGCAGTGCCCTTCTAGACCTGCTGAGGAGCCAGTCCCACGTGTCTATGTCCCTCCTTTGAGCTTGCCCATGTTCACTGCTTTGCACGCTTCCATGGCAGGCTCCAGGCTCCAGGCAGGTGGGGCCGTGTCCAGCCTGCCCCTCATGATGTTCCCCCACCCTCACCCAGTGTTAGGTACCTGAGGACTGCTCAGAAAGCCACTGAGTGAATGCAATGGCTGAGTTCCACTGCCTGCAAGACAGTGTTTCTAGTCTTAACTCAGCCTTGTGGGGCCATGACGTTGGACAGTCATCTCGCCTCGAGATGGGAAGGTTGGCCTAGAAGTCAAAGACCATCCACATTAAGTACCTTAAAAACACCAAGTGATCATTCCATCACACGAGATCTCTTCGGGTGACCCGGAACCTCTCCCTCATCAGTGAGACGGCAGACAGGTATGGCTTCTCAGGGCACATGTACTCGCTGGAGAGGGAGGGAAAGGGAGAGAAAGTGAGAAAGGATTCCCCAGGGGGATGGAAACATGGCAATCCCTTCTCTTCCATCCTCCTCTTGGGATTTTGGGCATGCACACATACATACTGGGCATGTTTTTAAAGCCACTGGGTCCAGTACTTGAACCGCACAGCCAGCCAGGTGGGATCCAGCTGCCTTTGTCACTATACCACCATCGGCTGGTCCCATAAAGGTGATCTCCACTGTTTAATATATAAGACGGCACTTTTAACCGCTATCTGGCTGCGGCTTACAATGGTAAATGCAGTGCTAACAGTATCCAAACTGGCGGCCCGCGGCGTGCTCTGGGGAAGGGAAAGGCTATGGACCTCAGGTCGGTGCACCCAGCACACAGCAGAGTGAAGGCCCCGGAGTCCTGAAGTGAAGAAAACCGAGCTCAGATCAACCTGATGCTTCCAAGATGCACCACACCGTGGAGTTCATTTTTTGGAGCGTTTCTTCTATAGAATTAGGATTCAAGAAAACACCTTTAAAAGTGTAAACTTAAAAGTGGCTATGAGGCCGGAAGGTGGTGTGGTGGTTAAGGCACTGGACTCCCACATGGCTGACTTCTGTTTAAATCATAGACCTGGTAGCTTGAAAATAATGCTGGGTGTGTGCCCCAAATCCCGAGGAGACAGAGGGAGAAGAGATCGTGGCGCGGCCATCCCCCTTGGGGGATTTCTCACTTTCCCTCTTCTCTCTCTGGTGAACGTGCATGCCCTGTGGCAAAAACCAAAAAGAAGAAAAAAGCAGCTAAGCCCAGAGCTAAAACTTGGGGGTTTATTTTTCGGGTACTTAATTGCTACTTAATAATGAATAGCCAAACCAACGATCTTTTTTTAAAAAATTACTTAACTTTATTTATTCATTCATTCCTTTTAATTTGACCAGAGGGAGACAGAGAAAGAAAGAGAGAAAGTGAGAAAGCAAGCCATCAGGTTCAGGACTTGAACTGTGGTAGGCCATATGGGAGTGTCCAGGGCCTTAACCACCACACCACCTGCTGATCCCCTAAACCAATAATCTCTTAATGTTCAGAGTGACCTGAGGCACATTGCTCCACCACATCCAGTAGCCGTGTGGAAGCTTTGAAATTTCTGCCATGTCCCCCACCTCTCAGCGCCTGAAGCTTACCTGTTGTCCGTAGGTCTCTCATCTGCCCTAACGGGGCTTGGGCCAATCCAAACCCTGGTCAGCTGGGCTCAGAGCACTTTCCTGGCACTGTTTGGGCTGGTGGAGTCCTGAGTTTAGCCCTCACAACCTGACACTTCAGTTGGTGGGAGCCTGCCCCTTCATATACAGGGGATAGGCCTGCCAGCGGCCTGGGGGACCCCTTACTCCTTGCCGCTGAAAGGCCCACAACTGTGTGCATTCTTGTACGATTGTTTTTACAAACTAAGAGGACCTGGTGCCCAAGCACACCCAGGATCCAGCTACTCTGCGGGAGGCCTGAGGCCCATCGCTGCCTTCTCTTCAGCTCAGTGTGGACTCTCCATCACGTCACTTCCTCTTCCTCACCGTAAAACCCTCTGAACACCAGAGCCGGTCTCCAGTCATTTCTTCCTCTAGGAAGATACTGTCTTCACAATGTACTGATAATCACCACATTCCAACAGTTCTAGTCTAGAGGAACGTTGTTATTTGAAACTTTTCTTTTTTTTGCCATTTAACTGCTCACATAATTATCTTACGTGCCATTTTCTGTTTGTGTTTGTTTTTGAGACAGGATTTACCTATGATGCCCAGGTTGGCTTTGAACCTGTGATCCTCTTGCCTCAGCCTCCCAATTACCTGGGAGTCACAGGAATTACAGGCGTGTGCCAACTGCTCCCAGCTCCTCTATTGGGTTTTGAAAACACAACCATACATAAGATATCTTTTCATCTACCTAGCATCTTGCTATGAATTGTTCAATGGCTATTTATTTGATGTAAATGATGCTTCCAGTAAGGATTAGTTTAAATGATAACCATGATACAAAAGGCCACTTTACTTTGCCAAAAAAAGAACACCGACCAGGCCCTGCAGCGCATTACCCGTGACGTCATTCATGGGATAATATACAGGAGTTTGCTTTTAAGATTAGTCTCAAAGTTAATACTGAAAGGATTAGAATGGCTAAATCTCGGCTTGGCTTAGGAAAGCATGACATTTGAGCGGGTGAAACCACTGCAGAATTGCCAAGGTAGGAGGTTCTTAATGCCACTGACTTTAACTTTGGGAAATTTAACTTTGATGGGTTCTTCCATAAGCCCGTACTATTCAGAAACCAGGTAATGGGGGAAAACACAGGTACATTCTCAGTGAATTAAAAATGTTCAGGGCCTTACCTTTTCATTCTTCACCAGAACATGTGGGCCTTTGATAAAATACAGCATTCATGTTTAGACATCAGCAACTCAGCAATAACCACCCACTGGACACAGTGTAAACTGCTAGCATGACAGGAGCCTCTGGCGGGGTCGTTCATAGTAAAACTTTATTGAACAGAAAACCCGGCAAAGGTTTTCACCTCTGCAAAGTTCCCCTGGGTTTAAAGTAAAGCCCTGCGTCGTAAAAAGCAATTATACATAAGTCTTTCTAGAAAAGTCCTGCTAAAACATGTCTAGCAATTTCATTGATTATATAAAGTAGTACACTTAGTGTAATTTAAACATTCCAACAGGAATCAAATCTTACCAGCAGAACCATTTCTGCATCTAGGACGTCTATATACAATCACACATGCAGACACACATCTGGAGAAGTTCCTCAGGCATAAACATGCGACACTTAATGCCCTCTACTTACAAAGCCTATTAAACTACATACAGTATATATTAAAGCTCTTCAGAATAAAGACATGAGAAGCCGTGGACTTTTTTTGTTCATCAATATGTATCATGGCTTCATGTCTTATTTTTGCTTTTGCCTGATCACAAAAGCATTATCATCATCCTTGTTGGTTTTTCAATCACTCCGGGTCACTGCCACTTCCGGGTGAGGAAATCCAGCTGGAGCCAGATGATCCAGTCCATGCCTGTGGAAGCCTCTAGCCGCTAAATACGAATGCCATCAGTTTGCTATGGCTGGGGGCCCTTCCGGAAGAAGAGAGGCAAAAAAAGTCTTGAAAACGAGCCATGCAGTGTTCATAAATGAGGGGCTGGTCTGCTCTTCATTTAAGACATCCCTGTTCGGAGGGAGGTGGTTGGGGTCTTCAGTTTCAGGATCGGAACCTTCCTACAGGTAATGAGACACAAGGAGAAATGACTAGGACTGCAGTGAACACCAAATGATGTTAGGACAGGGCAAGGTAAGTCCCTAGCCCCCGCCCCACAGGCCATGCAGCCAGGCAGCTGCGAGAAATGACGTTCTAGGCTGGACAAGGCGCTTTCTCAAGCTTCCACATCAAACCTGTGTGGAAGTGTTCACAATTTCAGATACTCTTGGCAGTGAGTATCAGAGCAAATGAAGTAACTAGATCTTCAGCTATTATTAAACTAGTAATTACGGTGGCCACTTCATTAATATGTATATCCCAATGTTAGCAGTACTCCAAGTTAAAAAAACAAAAATGGAAACCCAGAGTTCTAAAAACATATTAGGAAACCATGTATACTACGAAATAATATCCTTCAGGACCATGCACTAATCTGCCTTACAAAAATTCTCTTTTATTACTTTCCAGGAAATCGATGCTGTGAGACAAGTTTATGCTTCTGTATCTTTATTAGAATAACTCCGTCAGCAGTGTCCGTGTATAACACATTGTTAAAGACAACTGAACACTCAGAATAGTGGGTTTAGAAAAACACTTACATATGCAAAAAATGCAAATAGCCACATGACAAAAACACCTGCTGAATCTTATGGTACATTTGATGTTTTAAAAATAGCTCTGGGAGCCCAGCAGCCTTCTGGTTAAGGGAACAGGTTGCACACTGCGTTTAGAGGTCTGAATCCCAGTGATGGTCAAGTGCAACACATGACGGGCGCTTGGGTATGGATCCCCAAATCCCAACAGAATGGAAGGATGGGAAGGGAAAGGACTGGGTTGTGACCATGCCCCAGTGTGCGGGGGGGTCCTTTCTCCCTCTCTTTCTGTTTCTGTCTCTCTGTATCTCTCTGGCTATTGCACACACACTCTAACAATTGAAAAAGAAAAATATCCGGGCCAGCAGGTGTCATGGTGGTTAAAGTGGCTGGCTGCCACATGGCTGACTGCATGACTGGAGTCCAGATCCAGTGACTTGAAAATCACACTGGGTGCGTGTGTGTGCATGCCCAAAGGGCCGAGGAGAAGGGACTGTGGTGTGGCCATCCCACCAGGGGGTGTTTTCTCACTTTCTCTCTCTCTATCTCTATCAAGCACACATACCCTGTAGCAAATTTTAATTAAGTACATAAATTAAAACAAATAGCTGTTGCTCTAAGAATAAGTTTGCAGGGAAAAAAAAAAAAACATGAAACATTTAGTCTAGTAACTGAGAAACCACGGGCTCGGAAAGCCCGACACATTGTGCTAAGCTTGCCCAGACCCCCAGAGCTCCATACCTGTAGGTTATTGTTGGGGTCCTGATTTACGGCTTCACGAGGAGGCCCATCGTTTGGGAAGTTCTGAACTGGCCTTGGTCTAAACGGAAACCACCCAACGTGATGCCTTCAAAGGAAGCATATGAAAGTCCACCTTAGCTAACATCACAGTCAGATTTACTCAGGAACCCAAGGCCCCCTCCCCTCATCATGGCAGCACCCCAGTTAGAGGCTCACGACAAGCCCATCTGCAGAGACTTTTATCACACTGTCTCTCCTCTTTCGCACTGGCACGTGAGGTCTTCTAAGGCAGGGACTGTACCTTACTCATCACTGTATGCCCAGCAACATCAACAGCACCTAGCACATAGTATATGCTAATAAATGCTTGTTTATCTAAACTGCATCTTATACCTGAGAACCGGAATAGGTATACACAGAAAGCTGCCACTATGGTAATGTTCTAATATATGACAAAATAGAACAACCTAACTTTGGTCACTTAAATATGATTCTAGGGACTATAGAAAAAAACTAAGTTTTATTTAGAAGATCCAATTAAAACCTTAAGGCAAAAAGATAAAATCTTAACAAAGATTAACTGTGGAATATGAGTGTTTGTTGTATTATTCCATCTGTTTCCCTTTTTATTTTTAAAAGCTAAAATAAAAATCCATTCTTAATGTAAAAGAAAATGTCATCTTTCAGTTTCAGCCACAAAGACCCACCCCTCCAGGGCAGGCTTTCTCATCTTTGGCACCAGTGTCTCAGTGGACCACACACTCACTGTGAAAGCTGTCCTGTGCACTGGAGGAATCAAGCAGATCCCTTCCTTCCACCTACTGGATGCTAGTAGGACCATCCTCCTGGCAGTGACAGCCAAAAATGTCTCCAGACCTTGCCAATGTAACCATGTGTGCGCACATGTGTGTGTATGGAGTCTGTAAAAGTTCCCCGGCGCTTCAGGGCTATGCTAACAGCCTGGGCCTGACCTTTACGCTCATACACAGCTATACCTTAATAAAGACAAACATGTTCTTATTCAAAACAATGTATTTTTCCTTTCCATGCCTCAATGTGGCTGTATTTTTGTGGTTTATGAACCTGGAAGGCACTTTTTCCAAGGAAAAAGAGAACAGTCTTTTTGTATCAACACATGATGAATGTGATCTTTGCAATACACAATCAAGCCCCCAATCATTTAAATAGGAAGGAAGTATATGAAAGTCCACCTTAGCTAATGTCACAGTCAGATTTACTCAGGAACCCAAGGGTCCCTCCTCTCATCATGGCAGCACCCCAATTAGAGGCTCATGACGAGCTCATCTGCAGACCTTCTATCACACTGTCTCCTAGACTTTCGCACTGGCATGTGAGGTCTTCTAAGGCATTAGAAGACCTTGGCATCATATTTAAATCTACTTTCTTCAGTCATGACTGAAATTTGCTCAAAACAGCAAACTCTAACCTTGGTTTGAGTCACAGTGTAGTGTAATGGTAGTAGGGGGAGGTAAAAAGGGAAGGGACACCACGTGCTTACAGGTACATGACAACGGTGGCCCCCATGACCATGAGGAATCTGCTCAGGGAGGAGTAGAAGTAGAGGATGCTGAGGAAAACGGAAAACGTTGCTGCTGAGTAGGTCCAATCCAACCAATCGCGATTGATCTCATCATCTTCCTCCACAATAGGGCCGCCCTGTGCGTTCATCCGCAAATTTTGATTGGCTCCAGGATTAACCACCACCTGAGGAGCTGCATTCTGATTGGCTGGCTGGTTTTCAGCTGGAAACTGATTGTGGATAGAGGTGGGAGCAGGTGCAGAGACCACAGGTATCTCTTGTGCACTTGGTGATGGGACAAAAGCCCCCGATGCAGCAGTGGCAGCTAAACTAAAAATAAAAATGACAGAGGTAGATAGATACCTTTGAGAACAAAGCCCTGTGAAGACTGTGGCTCTCATAACCTTATCTACACAGGGGCCTTTTACCATATGTAGATACATACACATTTGACTTCTCTTCAATTTAGTGAAGAGCTTCTTAACTAACAATCTTATCTACCAATGTCTTTACAGAAAGAAGCCATGTGTAAATTTCATCTGGAATTAAACATCAAGACTACTGTAAAATTATGGTGCAATGGCAAATTAAAATTACCACAAAACTTCAAAGTCATTAAACTATCTATGGGACATCAGCACCCCCACATCATTATACAAATTAGGCAGCAGCTGTCATTTAGACTCTACTCCACCCACAGAACAAGACAGAGCAGGGCTCTGAAATTTCATTCATCCCCCATTCTGAGCTTTATAGTAACATGGATGGGCTTTCCCTCGACTCCCCGGGGCCCTGGCCACACCCAGCATGGCAAGGAGGACTCACTACTGCATGTAGTACTGCCGTGCATAGATCTGCTGGAACCAGGATAGCTGCAACCACCCGTAGGTCGTGTAGCCAGAGAAGCCATGCCCCAGGCCCTGGAATGCCTGCTGTGTAGCTTCAGGCCTATACATAGATTTGAAGAAAAAAATAAAGACCACTTATTTGGAGTTGGTTGAGTATAAATAAAGGAAACTACACTTAAATGACAATCAGGAATTCAAGTCAAAGCGGCAGGAGAACGGGCTATATGGCAGTGATGTGGCTGATGACTGAATGATGCGCCTTGATGCACCTTGAACAAGCACAGAACCTGTTCAATGACAAAGCCTTCCGACCAGGTCCAGGTCCACGGGAAAAGGAGGGCATTGCCCAGCACTAGGCTCTCGTCATGTCCTGGCATCGGTGGGCAGGGGTGTGGGGATGCTTGTGCTGTGCTCAGGTGCACGAGGGAGCTGAGCCTTTTCTGTTTACATAGACTCCCCACCCCATTTTTGCCTTGCCAAGTCTCACTGCAAGTCTAAACTCACTGGTCATCTTTTGGAGAATAGCTCAAAAGCTGCTTTCTCCCTAAGTTGTTTCTGAAGGGAATCTCTCCCTTGCTCTCAATGCTCGTTTCTCCCCCCTATCCTGGCTCTGCATCTCTGCTAGAGCAGTGTGGTGTGTGCACTTGGCATCACCTATGCATGCTTACTGACCACCTACCTGGTGTCCTGTACTGGCTACCAGATCCCCGATAACCTTGTGGGCAAGGAGCTCTCACCCCCCTCCCCCCATACAGAGGGGAGCCCGAGTACAGCTCAGGGAAGACAAGGGATTTGCACAGGGTCACTGAGCTACAAGCTGCAGGGCTGGAGTTGAGACCTGTTTATCTGATGCTGTACTCATGCCTCTTTAGTCATGCAACACAGCCTCAGCTGCCTGGGGCAGGGTGTGTGGGAGTCATCCCTGCTCGGTGCTCCTTACTCGAACTCCTCGTTGGCATTTCGCAAAATTGAAATTGTAATATAATTGTGGGAAGATCAGGAGTTAGATATGTGGTCATCCTTGCAGGTCAACTCACATCCTTTAGCCAAGATACACATACTGATTACTCAATAAACATTTGTTGAATGAAATCAACAAGTCTAAATATGGTGAAATTTAAGCACTCACATGTGGGCCTCAATTCTCAAGTTCTACAGGTAGAATAAGGGACACAGTTCTAAACTGTTCTAGCCAGTAATGTATCCAATTTATACACTGATAGTCTTTTAACCAAATTTCATACCTAGAGTATTTCTAAAACAGTATTCCAATACAAGTATGTCTGGGTGTTTATATACACTTATTTTTAATTTTGCCAGAGGGTGTGTGCGCTTGTTGGGGAGAGAGAGAAGAGAAACTGAAAAAGTACCTCCCATGGGAGAAGGTCATGCCACAATCCCTTTTCCTCCATCTCTTCGTCCCGTCAGGATTTTGGAGACACATACACAGGCACCTTATTTTTTAAGCTATCAGGTCTCGGGGCTCAAACCATGTAGTCAGTCATGTGAAATCCAGCCATCTTAAACACCATACCATTGACTGTCCTTGATAATTGTTTATATTCTCTTTCAAAATCATGGTGCATGGAAATGAGGTGATAAAGTGCTTTTTAACATTTGTTAGATCTGATGATGATGATATACTAGCTATGCAAGGTAACTAAAAGGTTTTTATAGCTGTGTATTGAAGTATGAAGGGATCAAGTCACATGCCTTCTGGGAATTACTTTTAAATGCTTCAAAATAGAGGAAGTAGGAAAGAGATGAAGCAAGTATGGCCAACTTTGATCATTCCTGGATCTCAGTGATGTGTGAATTTGTCACACAGTCCTCTCTACTTCTGTGTATAATCTGAAATTTTCATTAAGAAAAAAAAAAACAACACTCATTTCTCAAACACCTGACTTTATAAAAAATCAAATATAAGAACTACCAGGTAAAGAAAAACAGGAACTGTAGAGTTGTAGAATTTCAACTTGTAGTTAGTCAAACAAATGATTTCTCCCAGAAGTACATGCATAAGAAAATGTCCCTAGAGCCATAAAATCTAAGCATCAGAGCAGTTAGTCACATCTGGCTTTTGCTCTAAAGATAAGCTCTAACTGCTCTAAAGTAACTTTGCTGTTGTTGTTAGTAAAACTTGGTCATTAGCAAAACACTTCTTAAACAGGCTCTTCACCTTTTGTCACCCATTGTTATAACAAACAAAGCATAAAGCCACTCAGCAAAGCAACCAGGCAGTGCTGATGACAGCTGTTTTTCTGTAGCAGGCTGGTTTCCTCTTCTGAGGGCAGTGAAGGGGTCAGCACAATGGAAAGCACCTCCCACCAGAAGACAAAATGCCTGCATTTCCACAGAGCTCCTCCCTTTTTAGATGTTCCTAAGAGGCTATGTATTAAGAAAAGTTAAGGGGCCAGCAGGTGGCGTGGAAGTTAAGGCGCTGGACTTTCACTTGACCAACTACAGTTCAAGTCCCAGACCCAGCACTTGACAATCACTCTGGGCATGTGTGTGTGCGTGCTCAAAATCCCAACAGGAGAATGGAGGAGAAAGGATTGTGGCATCACCCCCACGGGGATGATTTCTCACTCTCTTTCTGTCTCTTTCTCCTGAGTACACACGCCCTATGGCAAAAAAAAACATAAATTAAAAAAAAGAAAGAGTTAAATACATAAGAGATCTTTGAAGTGAAGCTCTTTTCTTTAAAGTGGAGCCCTTTATAAAGCAACATTCTGCCATTTTACAGTTCTCTGACTATATATATGTGTAAATACACCTTATTTTTAAATTGATGCAAGTGAAGTACATTCAGGCTGTGTAAGTCTGTCTCTTTATTATAACACTCACCTTGAAATGTTCTCCCATTCAGAGGGAGAAAGGTTCCGAAGAGCTTCCCTTTGCCTTAAACCTTCACTGGAGGAATCCCCAGGATACTGTCCTGGATTAGGACTGGCTGGCTGCTCTGTGGATTCAGCAACCTAAGTAGGTGTAACATGAGCATCAGAAAAAGGATCTGCCATAACTGCCTGAACCCCAACTAAAAGCATCATTTTTGTGAATGGCTTATGTATCCCAACCTCATCTCAGACTTAAAATTAAATAGATGCAATGTTATATTAAAAAAATTCTGAAATTTGTTCAACATATTTCTCAAAATACAGCTCCTGAAAATTCTATATTTCCCCCCCAGGGTAACTATGCTGCAGTCTTCCTAAAATCATCCAATGAAGTTATCATTGGTGGGAAAACTTACTGGCAATGCTCTATACATCCTCTGGTGCTAAATTTACTAATTCAAGAAACTAAATTTGACCAGAAGGGCTTACATGCACGATCTTAAAAAAAAAAATCCATGGAAAATGTGTATTATGGAAAAGGTATGCATGGATTTCAACTTTTTTTGTGCATGAAAATAAACTCATATAATTTAATTCCACTTTTCCACAAACATTCGGAAATACTTTGTAAGTACAACTAAAAAGAAGGGAATTTCCTGTTATGTTCAGAGGCTTTAGAGAATAAAGTTGTAATACAAATTTAGAGTATATCCTCACATTAGAATGTTAATACTCTATATTTGAATAGCATTGTTAAATAAAATATTAAAATTTACGACTGTCAGATATAAGTCCCTAGAATTCACTTATAAAGACTCTCTCCCTTTCCTATCCAACTAAATAAATACAATACAAATTCCTAAAGAAAATATATTCGCTTTGACTCTTTGTGAAAATTAACGGTCCAAATGTCAGCAGCACGCACTGTTAGGGCACTGTGGTCCTCAGGCTGAGACCACATGGGAGACCCAGGTTTGGCTCTGGGTCCAACCTAAAGGCCGAATGCAATGGCTTGTGCCTGTAATCACAGTGACTTAGAGGGCCTGAGGTAGGAAGACAGTGAGCTTGAGGCTGGCCTGGGCAACACAGCAATACCCTGCCCCTCCCCACACACCAACGGAAAAAAGAAAAAAGGAAAAAAATAAATAAATAAAAGCCAGGTACAGTGGCTCATGTCTGTAGTCCCAATTGGGAGGCTGAGGCAAGAGGATTAAGACAGGGTAAGACCCTGTCTTTAAAAAAAAAAAAAAAATCGAAACCATTCAATGGTTTCTTAGAAGAAACTTGTTAAATATACTACATTCAATAAAATGCATCTTCAAGTGCCTTACAGGATCAGCAGATGGCATAACGGTTATATCGCTGGACTCCCATATAGTTGACTGTGTTGAGTCCCAGACCTAGCAACTTAAAAGTCATGTCAGGTGCATGTGTGTGCATGCCCAAGATTCCAAGAGAAGAATGGAGAAGAGATTGTGGCATGGCCATCCCTCTGGGGGGGAGGGATGATTTCTCACTCTCTGTCTCTGTCTCTCTGGCGAGTGCACGTATCCTATAGCAAAAATTTCTTTAAAAAATAAAAAAAAAGTGCCTTGCCAGTTCAAGATCTGGAATGGAGAGTTAACTATACGTCAGATCATATCTCAGCAGACAGGGTAAAGTCCATCTTCCCTTTTCATGATAACGCTAACAGAACAATCTATTGTAATAAACTCTTACTTGCATTGCTCACACGATTTCTAATTCCTTGTACTTGCTATGGAAGAAATGAAATCTTACTTGGTAAAGAACCTGGAAAATCTCTTAAGAGTTTGATCTACTTTGCTTCATTCCTCCTTTGACAGTCTGAATGAAAAAAGCAGACGTACCTTTGTGCTGGTTTCTGACGTTTTTGAAGGATTGCTCACATTGCACACCAGATGCAAAACATGCCGTTTTTCCTGCTAAAAGTAATAAGTAAGTACTTTAGGACCTGAGCTCAATCTGGTAAGTGCTTCAAAACATTCAAAAGTTAATGTGTACGTGACGTACCTTTGGAAGCAAGTCCCTGAGACACTGGTGATCCAACAACAGCTTCCCAGAATAAATTAACCTCTGGTCCTCCGGACGCTGATCACAGAAAGAAAGAGTAACACAAACACAGGTCAACATTTAACCCCGTAAGCTTCCAAACACATTAGAAACTGTCCTGTAGAAATAATTTGAATATGTGTGTTTTCCCTCAATATCACAGGAAAACACTTTTTCAAAAGCCCCACATACAAATTTTTATTTAGAAAATACTTAAAAGTTGGGCCAGCCAGGTTGTGTGGTAATTAAGGTGGCTAGACCCCACATGGTTGACCATGCTGGACTGGGAAGCTTGAAAAACATGCCAGGTGCATGCTCATGTGTGCCCAAAATCCCAAGAGGAGAATGGAGGAGGAGGGATTGAGGTGTGGCCATCCTTCTGGGTGGTGCTTTCTCTCTCCCTCTCTCTCGCTCTCTCTCTCTCTCTGCAAGCATATGTGCCCTATAGCAAATTTTAAAAAATCAGAAAAAGACAAGACAATACTTAAGTTTAAACTGATCTCTAACCTGCAAATACATTTAGGATGGCAAATTACCACCATTACCACAGTCACAAAACCTATGGCAACATACTTAACTCCCAGGGAAATTGGTTTTTTGCTACTGAAGACACGAATTCTATTTGGGGCTCCTATAGCAACTAACTTCAAAACTTGGTTTGTCCTCAGAGAAAAATGCAAGAGTACTTCTGAGATCTGGCATTGCCCCAAAATAACATGAGGTAATTCTAAACTTTAAGCCCTCAGAGAATTTCCTGACATTCTAATGCAATTATAGAGAAGATGATACATGGGTAACATTATATATAACAACCCTGTGAGGTGTTTTTTGTTTTTTGTTTTTTGTTTTTTTAAGAGAGATTTTTGCTGTGGGGCACATGTGTTGGCGGAGACAGAAAGTGAAAAATCATGTGCTCAGCATGAGTTTCAAGCTACTGAACCCAGGACTTGAACTTGTGGTCAGCCATGTGGGAATCCAGTGTTTTAAGCACTACGCCACCTATTGACCCCCCCATGAGGTGGTGTAGTATCCCTATTTTATGGGGAGAAAAATCTGAGAAATTGACTTGTCCAAAGTCACCCTCAGTTAAAGAGCTAAGATTCTAATCCCTCTTCACTTTGAAACAGTGATTTTAAGCCATAAGAACTCCCTCCACACATTTACACAAATCTCACTTTAAAAATCTATTATTAATTCTTTTTAAACTGTACAGTACTTAAAAATAATGGCCCCGAATAACATAGAGCAAAGCCAGACTGGAGATCACCAATGTGTCCATCTACTCCTGCCAGGATAACTGATTACGCTAACATTGGAATTAAATCGTTCCTGCCAAGTAGCCTGAGATTGTAAGGTAAGTTGTTTAAATCAAATATAAGAAAACAGCAGTGGACCCATCCCATAGCCTCATGGTTAAGAGAGCTGGATCCCACATGGCCAACCGTGACCACACAGTTTGAATCTCTGCCTGGTGGCTTGAAAAACACTGTGGGTGCAAGTGCATCCGTGCCAAGTATACCAAGAGGAAGGAGAATCAGAGGAGATGGGATTGCGGAGTGACCACACCCCACTGCGGGGTACTTTCTCCCTCTCCCTCTAGGTCTCTTGGGCCAGTGAACACAACCTGTGGCAAATTAATTTTTAATAAATAAAAAAGAAAAATAGCAGAAACTGCATCAATGTATCTATTGGGCTGTGGGAAAAGTCATGACATATTTTTCTAGGTTTTTCTATGCAAAAATGTGTCATGACTTTTCCAGCAATGCAATATATACCTCACGACTTTCTGACTTCAAAAATATTTTTAAAATATTTATTTGTAACTAAATCAATAGACTGGCTACTATGTCACCATTGTTCTCACTGGTTGATTTTAGAGGTAAATGCTAAACACATGAATTTGTTAAAAAAAAAAAAAAAACTATTGTACAAAGGAAGCTCCAAAACTTCATGATAAATTGGAATTAAAGTATGAGCTTATTTTGATACGAATTTTCTTTTGAAACCAACCTAGTTTTTTCATAATATACATTCCCACGAACTTTTTGAAGACCCCTCATATATGAAGAGTCCTGAATCGCATTAAAGAGTTCAACCACTAGAAAAGGTTTGAAAACCACAGCTGCTGTGGATTTGTTTTCCCCTTTAAAAGAAGGCCTGAACTGATCCTCTGTGTGTTCACCCAGAAGGCTGATTTGAAAAAAAAAAAAAAATTAAATATGTTAAGCAAACAACTAGTATAAAGGAGAACATCTCACATTATACCATTTTATTCTACACAAAAGATGAGTGTTCCAGCACAAACACAAGTTTGTATAACTGACAGATCTTTTATTTGCAATCCTGGGTCTTCAGACTCAACAAACAGGAGTCGTGTTTCCTCTCCAAGGGCGCTCTCAAGGAAAATCCCCCTGTAGAACACTGCCTTCTTCCAGATGATGCAACTAGAGACGACACCTGTTTCACTAATTTGTGTACCTAACAGCCATTCTCGGCAATACAGTCCTCTAGTTGCGTGAAAGTAGCTATGGTGAAATCGCAGCGTGCCAAGGGGAATTCTTAAGGACACTAGAGCGGCAGCTTGCTAAGTAAATAAGCAAATGTCACAATAACAACTCAGAAGTAAAACTCATTTCTGCCTTCTTGGCAATATGGAAAAAGAGACACAGGAGCCGCCGCGGGTTGGAACGCTTGAGACAGGAACTCGGTCTCTTCCTGCCCGGATGCCCTCTCCTGCTGGGTGGAGAATTACACTGTGGGCAGCGAAGAACACTGCTGACACTTACATAATATCCCAGCACAGAGTAAATACAGGAAGGTCCGGCTCACAGCCTCATCACGTGGTGGTGGGGACGGAGGGAGGGCGGGGCTAAGGTTGGTGTTGACAGATGTGTCAACCAAAACAAAGCACGGAAGTCTCCCTAATGGAGAGACCGAAGTCTTAAAATCAAACTCCAGGCGACTCCTTCTACCCCTGATCCCCGATTCCGGTCTAAATCACTCTGCCAGAAAAGTGCACCCGGCTTCTCCTTGGCACTTAGCAATGGCGGTGAGGTCCGCGGGACAGGGAGGGGCGGAGGCGGAAAGTGGACAGGGCGGGGAAGGGCCACGTCTTGCTTCTGGGTGTGGGACCTAAAGTACACAGTGCCTGGTGCACACCATGTCCCTCTAGCCTCCGGCCCCGGGGTGGCACCTCTCCCCGCTGAGACGCGAAGTTGAGAAAACTCCTTTCGCAGCAATCATTTTTGCTTTGGTCTGTCCACGGGATGTCAGCCTAATTAGGAACGCCCGGTCGCCCAGTCGTCCAGGGGAAAACTGAGGATTGGAGGGTGAATTGACTCACCCAAGGTCAAACTGCTGTTTCAGGAGGTTGGCTAAGACTGGAAGTCAGATCTGGGGGGACAGGAAGGGCCCTGGCTGGGGAGGGCGCGGGAGAGTGGCTGTCTTGGAGCTTTGGGGATACGGGGAGGCAAAGTGACCGAGGACGGCAGCCCGGCAGGAAGGCGAGGTGAAAGCGGCCCACCAGGAGGTGACAGCCACCGGGGAGGAGACGGTAGGGCAGAGACCACAGTCCTGGGCGGACTGACCGGGCGAGGACCAGCCATCAGGAAAAGGTCAGCGAAGGGAGAGGCCGAGGGGAGCGGAGGCGGACGCGGCGCCCCTTAGGGAAGGACGCAGGGACTGACGGCCTGGGAGCGGTCGGGGCCCCCACTCACCGGGCGCTCGGGGTAGACGCGGCTCAGGTGGGCCTTGAGGTGGCCCACTGTCCAGGCGCGGTCGCCGCTCAGCTCCAGGTCGCGGTGGCGCTGGTTGGGGCTTTTCACCAGCAGCGTGACATGCTCGGGCTCCGGCTCGGGCTCCATGTCCGCGGCACTGTGGGCTCGGCTGCTCTCCGAGGTG